AACTGTTCACTAACATAATAAATCAAGTGAGAAGTCGGGTCATAAGACTCTACTTTGCAGCCCATGGAGCTGGCCCCTGCTGGCCAAAAGTAAGAATGCTGGTTTAATACACTTCTGTGTAGTTATGTATTGTCAGTGGTTGAATACAGGGACACTGCAGAATCAGGTGATCATTCTCTGTGTAGCTGTAACTTTCACTCCACCATGCAGAGCAGTTGCTCTGTGCCTCCCCTAAGAGGCCACCATCCGGTTTGGGAACCACTGATGTAGAAAATGTTTTGAGCAATGTTACCTAAGGCCCATCCAAGACATTAGCTTTAACTCCCCCTCCTCAGATATGAAGCTAGGCAGGAATGTGGCTCGAACCTTCCTGGATTACTACAAACTCAACAACCTCATCAAGGACAACAGACCAATTCACATTCAAAGGTAAAGCAGTATGGTATTATGAATAAATGAATGTGAAATTAAATCAGTTGTCCAAATAATATTTTCATGTTGTTTATACTCAAGTGAACCTACTTTTGTTTTGCAATTTCCTGAACTGTATCGTACCATCTCAGTCATTCATATTAATATGTTTTTGTCTGCAGTTCTGAGTTGAAATCCCACACAGGCGACAGTAATGGAAAGGGCAATGGTGTTGGCAGAGACACAGCAGACAGAGAGAGGGAGAAGAGCCAGGGTGTCAGGCACTAGACAGACGGACGCAGACTGAGCATGTATAAAATGCGGAGCACCGTAGCAGGAGGATCCTTCACACTTCATTGCCTTTAGAAGCTCCACATCTCCCTGGCTATAAAGACTTATTTTCACAGATTTGTAACAGTGGGATGACTGGTACTTGCAGGACTAAAATCAGAACAAGTTCCCTCCTGGGTTATTTGATTCTAAACTATAAAATGTGAACTACTGAATGCCAAGGGAAGACAGACTGGTTACGCACCTAAATTCCATCTGAGGCCTTCATTGAGCAGCTCCTTTTTTTTTTATGTTGTTCATATATTGAATAAATGCATGCTTCCCATCTGTTACTGACTTGTTTTATGACTTTTTTTGGATGGTGTTATTATCTCTGTTGGTATTATAATTAGCTATTAAATACTTAATCACTCAATCACGCCTGTTTGCTCTCTTATTGCAAGACAGAGAACATTAATGATTGCTTTCAAACAAATGAGAGTAGCCTATATAAAGAACATCTTTATAGTCTCTTACTGTTTGTGCATTGTTTACATCTTTATGGCCATGTAGGCTTTAGCCCTATTTATGCATGCACTGTTTATTTATTATTTAACCGCAGATTTAAGGGTTCTTTCATATTTTTGTATGAGCTCAAATGGCCTCTGATTTGCCACTTCTTGGTCACATGACTGCACATCCGCTCTGTGACTGTTGCTGTTTGGCAGCCATGACAACGAAAGTTGGATGAATGGCCTCACTGAAGAAGACGCTTTCCTCCTCCAAAGTGCACCGAAAGTCTCTGAAATGTACCGTATACTTGGACATTCAGACAGTAAGTGCGCTCCTTTGTTACCACAGGGAGAGACGACCCGGTGCTGTGGCTTTTAGACATAACAGAGTTTACATCCTGTTCCCTTTACCGACCGCACTTAGCTCAGCGCTAACGGCTCACTATCTGCTGTAACTTGTGTTGACAGTGAGTTAAAGTTAGTCAGGTTAACTTAGGTTATCCTGATAATGTAGATAGAGCTAATTGACCTACTGAGCTTACTAGAAGTGCCTTTTCCTGAATTAATATAATATAACATGCTTTAACTGCAAATGCAAGGTTTTCCTGGCTTTTCACATAATATTCTGTAATTATACACATATTTAACTGTGTTATTGTTTTAATTGTTTGTTGTAGCTTATGGTTTGTATTCTTCGCACAGTCACGTCACATAATAGCTTTTTTGCTTTCTTACTCCAGCCATTAACTCATAAAGATTGAACATGGTGATATATAGCTAAATATTGAGCGAAGATTTTTCCCAGTAGCCACTTTTACCTGAAATAGGGTAAACACAGGTGTTAGGGATGATACTACAGGTAGTTAAGGCTCAGTTCCATTTAGTGTTTCCAGTGTGCCACCAACCCTGACTCTGTTTGACCTAAATGGAACAGAGCCTCAGTGAGTATCATTGGTAAGGCCTGTGTTTACCCCACTATTCATATGTCAGTGGCGTCTGTGAGCTGATTTAGTCTCATTTCCACTTGTTATATTGAAGTAACTGATCTTAATTAGGTTTTCAGGTTTAATAAAAATATAATTGTACAATATAGTTTATTATTAATGTGTTTTTTTGTCATAAGATGGCAAGAAATCTGGTCACCATTGCTCTGTTTGTGTGCAGGTCACATGTCCAGGAGTTCTCCTGTATAAAAAGAACAAGATCTACCTCAGTGTGTGTATCATGGGGCAGTACAGGAAGACTCCCTGTGTGCCGCCTGTGTTCCCTTTACTCTTCCACCACAAAATGGTGTTCGTCAAGGTGAGAATAGCAACTGTGTATCACAGGAATAAGAGCTGCCTCCATTACTTAGGCACAAGATGTAGAATTGCCATCGGTCTGCTGTAATTGTTTGCTGTACATTTCTGAGAGATGGTGGGAGGACTACTGGCATATTTTAATATCAAAGAAGGGATGCATATTACATGTGCTCGTGTTACATCCGTTGTCCTTTTATCTGTAAAAGACTAACGCTCATGAAATCTCCATCCTAGCAGTGGTTTGCTATTTGAATTCTTATGCGTCCTCTTCTTGCACACCCTACACACTGCAGGCTTATGTTTTTAAGTCTGAAGATACACATTTGGATATGAACATTACAGCCTCAGTTTGCTGATAAAAGAGCCCTTCTTTTCTCTGGGGGTAGTTAGATACCGGGCTGCCTGTCTCATCTTGTTATAAGTATTGATTTGCTTTGTCTGTCTGTTTTACCAGACTTTCCCCGGCGTTGTTGACCCTGCTGATGTAGCTGACCTCCTCGAAGGTAAGCGGCCGTCTGGGATTTGCTTCCTCATCTTTTAGTCCTGAATCCTCTGCTATGCAAGCTTATAGGCTATTAGCTGTGATACTGATCATTAGCTCACAGTCTATTTGTGCTTTCCTTCCTCTTAGCTGACACAACATCTTTTGAGCTGATTCAGTTGGTGCCTCCAGGTATGCTTTCTGACGATGCCATATGGGCATGTTAATTCCCAACTGTATCTAGTCATTACGCTGCAAAAACAGGATCTCTAGCTTGGATTGTGTGTACGTGTGTGTTCCTGTTTACTGCCCGTCTGTGTATGGTTTGTAGAGGGTGAGATCCTAGCCACGATGGAGGAAAGCAGCAGAGATTTCCTGTACCCTGGACCCAGACTGAGCTCCAGAGAAGGAGCTGCGGAGAGAGAGATACTGCTGAAGAGAGCCTCCTCTTTTCCTGTAGGTTGTTTTCCATGTATTCCCTTTATTTATTTCTTAATCATCCTTCTAACAGCTGCGCCCGTATTTACCAAACTTCTGTGAATTACACTCAAGAATGCTCTAGAGCCAACTTAGGAATAAAGTTATTTGCTGAGTTTGCGCAATAACACATTTATCAAGAGACTTACTCCTACTTACAGCATAGTGTAAAAGTAACTTTTAAAAGCAGCATTTAAGTGATCACGTGATTGATCACATGTCTGCTCGGAGAAGAAATAGCCAATCAGAAGTACATTTGGGTACTTCATGAGTACTGTTATGAGTACCATTACAATATTATTTATTATCTTTAATTATCTTTACATGTTCCTCACATTCTGACTGTAATAAATGTTTCTTATGTTGTTGTTAAAGTTGCTTAAAATGATTACAAACGGCTGACATCGCTCCTCCTCCGTCTACCTGTTCAACTAACGAGAGAACGCTGCCGTAAAGTGGTATCGTAATTAGTTTTATGATTACAATTACATACATAAGGATATCAGTGCATCCCTAATATATATGACTCTACTCTGGAGTTCTGGAGTATTTGCAAGTTTCACTAAAGTCCAAAATGCTACTTTTACTGGTTTCATAGATGTGTGTCACACATATTTCTTCCTCGCAAAAGTACCTGAGCTACTGCACACTGTGGAATCCGTTAAAGGGAGGATGTTGGAAGTTGACGAGTTAAAATGTGTCACAGCGACCCCACATCGTGCTCACCATGTGATCCAGCTTGATTGGCACAAATATTACACGTGTCATTCATAGACTGGAGAAGATTGTTGCTTTCTCTGAGTGAGTCTCTTCCTAATCTCTGCGGCTCATGTGTCTGTGCACATGACAGGCAGGTACACTACCAAGATAACCAATTCAAAAGCACCGTCTTGTCTTCGACAAAGTGAAGTAATTTCTACAGAAAAGATAGCATTTTGCCTTATAGAGCTGTCGGCTGTCTTTGACAGAAAAACTAAACGGAGAACTTCCTCTCTTTTGGTCATGTTTTCTTTTTCCTCCTCCTCTTATATCATCACTTTCTCTCCCTACCTCCGCCTCCCTCCATTCCTTCATCTCTCAGTGGCTGCAGGTTGCTTTTCTATCCTCCCCATGTCCTCTGAGGCACTAACTGGCATATTGAAATGTCTTTAAACACCATTCCCCCCTCATCGTTGCTTTTATGTGTTTGTGTTTGAGGCCTACATAGCAATTTAGATGTCTCTCTCCAAATGCCATATTATTTAAACATCACTGGAGCCTTTTTCTTTTCTGCAATTTGTTTTTCTCAAGCCAAGCGTAGATTGAAGATTTGCGGTTGTAAATTGGTGTTCCAAGCAGTGTTGTTATCTGTCCTTTTGTCTTCATCTCCCTGTTAAAGGTGTTGTGTTTGTTCCTATTGTCCCTCTCCCTCTAGGGAATCTCCCCCAAAGTCGAGTTTCGCACGACATCAGTCATAGAAGAAAGTGATGGGAGAGACAGCTGGCCTGCCTCACCTGTAAGTGTTTCCTTTTACTACATCTCAAAGGTCTGTACATAACCACACAAACTCTATGTCCAGTTTTTCACATGTTTATTTGTACCTTTGTCTGCTTTTGGTTTATCTGCTTTATGTCTCTTGTTGATCTATAAAGCACTTTAGAAGCAACCTGTTCTTTATACTTACGTTTTGTTGTGTGTTCATGGTCTTTCAGAACAGCTTTTTAACTGTTCAGATCCATCAAATTGCCACTCATAAGTCAAGTAAACATTGTATTTATCCGCCAATGTCTGGAATTTGAACACATCACATCACAGCTACAAACTCAGTGTTACTGAGTGTTGACCAAAGCTAGAACAGTGAACAGTTCATCTCTAGAGGGCTGTAATGAGTGGTATCAAGCTCGCCATCAGATTCGTCTGTTTCCACCATACATACCAACCTTCTATTGTTGCCATGGCTACTGCATCTATCTATCTATACTGGCAGTGTTTCAAGGGTATCTGCTCTCTCCTTGTGAATGTAATTACGGGGAAGTAGATCTGTGATGCTGATAGCGAGGCTTCTCTCACATCTCCAACTAACTGGGAGTTTGCACAGTTTTTGTCACAGAACCAGTCAGTCCATTTTTTTTTAATGTTAACTATTCAAGATGAGAGTCACTTGTATCTCTGGTTGTCACTGTCTCCGTGTGGATTTTAAAGGGTAACTTTGCTCAGCTGCATAAAATCACATCTTACTTTTTCTTACTCCGCTCACTGTCTTTCTTGTATGGGCAAAGTTTTGTTTTTGACTTGTTCCCATCCACTGTTGCAGTTTTCCGTGTAGAGCAGAAACAGTCCGTTGACTAATCAATGAGTCAATCGAAGGAGAAAAAAAACAACCAACTGTTTTGACAAATGAATGATTGTTTTTCCTTTTAGTAGCAAAACATTCTCTTGTTCTAGCTTCTCAGTTATGAGGTTTTGCTGTTTTTATTTTTATCGTTTTAAGTTTTTGAAAAAGCCGTTTGGTGACATCACCTTGGGCTTTAACTTGCGGTGGTGGTTCGCTTGTTTTTTGTTCTTTTTCAAATGAATCGAAAAAGTAACTGGCAGATTAATTGATAATGATAATAATCCTTAGTTGCAGCCCTATTAAAGTTGAATCTCCTCCTTCATGGTCTTTTATGAATGTGTGTGTGAGGCGAATGCGAAGGATACTGGATGGTAAAATAATTCTCCGATTATAGACTGAAAAGGAGTTATTTAAAAAAGTTCCACTGAGAATGAAAATCTTTCACTAACAGTCGTGTTTGTAACATATGATCCATCACACAGCGGTTGGCATGTTGTGCCAAAAACACTACCGTGCATTTCCCAGGTGCAGTAACCTAAGCTAAGCTATTTGTTTAAATGGGATGTCATTGACAGCGAAGCAGATTGTCAGAGTGTTCTCCTGGCCCCTCGGGGGGATGTCTGGATCAGAGCACCGCTGTGGCTGTCAGACAGTAGAATTTCTCCATTTTCTCTCTCCTAATGGCTCCTCAGCATAGGCATTTCCCTGACTGCCTGCCCGCCCAGCTGACAAACCATGTCCTCCTTTTAATAGAGATTTAGAGTGATAGCAACACAAAACCTTTTAAACTGTAGTGTGAATATACAGTTATTTTTGACCAACGTCTAACTCTCGCTTTGTAGATTTTCTGGTGCTCTTATCTTTTGTTTGTTAATTGTTGTCCTTCTCAAGTAAATACCGTATTTTATCCAAAAGGAATAATGCTTGCGAGAATTGTAATTGTAATAAATTACCATGAAAGCAAACATTCAGGATCCCCAGAGGATGAGTACTAATTACTTTGGTGATCTTATAAACCTTACTGAATGGGTTGGTACAATATGTATTTATTTTAATGAAATGTAAACAACTATTAGATGAATTACCATTACATTTCTTAGATTAATTTCCCCTTCAGAAAGAAGTATAGTCACTTTAACTCATCTAGCACCATCTTGTGGTCCACAAAAATGTTTTTTGTCAGATACTTTATGACCAAATACTTGCAAAACTAATCATATTCCCATCAGCATTGGGTATACTGTGTGTTTAGTGCTAATTAGTAAATGTTATGTGTCATTGTGAGCATGCTAGCTGCTGTGCACGTACCAAGCTTTGTCGAACAGTCTCTTTTACACACAATACCAACAGTGCAAATAGCAACTAATCACATCAGACGAGCCTTCACCACTCAGCTGGTGACCGGAAAACTGACTGACTGTCAGTGGTCGTCCAGCGAAGAACAGAGCTGGAAGAAGTCAGAGATGGTGGTAAACGTGTGGGGGGAGAGCATACTTCCATTAAATCAGACCAATCTCAAATGGCAACCTCGATGAGGATTTATTCATCATTTAGTTTCTCTTAAAAATAGTTTTAATGTTGTGTGATTTCCCTTATTAGCATTTAGATTATCTTTGTTTTACAGCCAGGTAATGCCTCTTTATCATATTAGACGGGAGATGGCCATCAAATGCAATTAACATTTTATCTTAACGTATTTATCCCCGGTTGGCATTACCCGCAGGAAGTGGGATATTGCATCGGAGAATGATGTTAGTGGCCATTAGAGTTATTGAAGTAATTCTGCAGAGGTTGTCTCCATGGCAGTGCTGACTGCGAGAGCCGTTGTTGTTGTAACACTTAAGCTGAATGATTTAGCTAATGGTTTAATGGTTTTGTCCAGGGAGAGCAAGTCTGTGTCGAGAGTGAGAGCAGCTGCCTTAATGGCTAAAATGGCTGACGCTTGTGTGAAGGAACAACATTGTGGTCTGCAGAGAAATGTAAACTGCTGAGACAAATGTTATGCGTCCCCTCAAAATGGAGACCTGTGAGGGTAGCTTGACATGTTTGAACACATCAACATTTCTCTCTCTCTCTCTCTGTCATATTCTGTCCCTGCACCCCCAGACTTGCCATCTTTCTCCAGTGAAGCCATCTTTAACACCCTCCAGACAGAGTTTGGCAAACACGTCTTCACCATCCAGCGAGCACTTTTCCAAAACAGATGATGCAAACTGTGTCTCTTCGAAAGGTGGGAAGGAAAAGCTAAATGTTGCTAGAATTAAAAAGTCTGCTCCGTCCTCAACATCCAGACGCTCCCCTTCTCCATCCCCATCTGGCCGCAGTAAACACACTTCTTCCAGAGTCTCTGTAAACTCCAGCTACCAACAGCCCACAGTTTCCTCAGTGACACGAGCCATGTCCCCTTACACCCATCGCAAGATGTGCCAGCTTTCAGAGGACGCTCGGCAGAGGCTCCGCCATCTCCAGTTGGGGCCTCACCACTTCAGGAAGGAGAGCGAGAGCCAGCCTCCCTTTTTGGTCGGTAACCTATATTCCTCCAAACTGAAGGCTGTTTGCAAAAAAATATGATGGTTGGTTTAATGCCAATAATACACGTGTTCAGTGGACAGGGGTTATAATATTAATGGAATCCTGAATTGATGTAGTTCAAACCTCAGCGGGAGCTTCCCAAAATTTAACATAATCTAGTGGGCAGATTAAGTGGTGGGCATAATAACAGAGCAGTGTTAATCTTTTTACCTGAGCCGTTAATGGATTTTGACGTCATGAAAATGTTTCACTATGTGCGCATGTAATGTGGCCTATTATCCTCACTGAGGGCCTTGAGTGTGCTTTAATAGCACACGTCCTGGATTTAGGCTGGTACAGTTATTTGTTAACGCTTTAATTATGGCTGTATCACTGCTACAAGAAATTTGCATATAAAAGGAAGTGATTTTTCTGATCACAAAGCCTTGGGGAATCCAGTTGATGGACAAGAACAACAAGCCTCTATTTTCTGTCCCCCTCCCCTTCCCTCTGCTCCCCACTGTATTCCTGCTTCTTCATTTACATCGAGTCCAATCCTGAGGTATGAATATCAAAATCCACTAGCATGCTGTTATTAAAAGATGTGATTAGGTACAGAGTTGTTTGTTTTTGTCACACACATGAATGGAATTTACTTGAATACAACAGGCGTTTTATTAAAGAGAGGAGCATGTTTTTTCCTGCTCTGGTTTTCCTGGGGGAATCTTCTGTCTACAATTAACCCTAGTAATTGAGAGTCAAGCTGCAATTAACAAATAGATAGCTAATGAAGTAGCTTAGCCCCATGGTGAATGCATTATCAGTGCATGTTTCAGAGCTTCAACTCCTTGTTTGTTTGTGTTGAGAAGCATTTTCCTACAGAAGACACAACCTGCGTTCTTTGAGATTGGTGGTGGTTTTGTAAAAAATATTGTCATTGTTTCCTTCGAGCTTTATTGTGATGTTCTTGGTGAAATGATTTGGGGTTAAGATGACAGACCAAAAGTAGTTTTTTTTTTCCCTTTATTTGTTACAAACTAAAGAAATGACAAGAAATTAGTGAATGTGAATAATGAAATATGTTAAATTAATTTACGCAATGTCGCATTTCTTATTTGAAATTGGTTGATTGTGTGATTGATTACTATATCAGCACACTGTTTAAAAGTGAAAAATACTCCTTGCTGAGGGCCAAAACCACCTGACTGTGCATATATATATATATATA